CTCACCAGGGCTGAGTAGAGGGGCAGGATCACCTCCCTCGACCTGCTGGAGACACTCTTCCTAATGCACCCCAGGATCCCATTGACCTTCTTGGTCACAAGGGCACACTGCTGCCTCATGGTCAACTTGTCGTCCACCATGACGCCCAGGCCTTTCTCTGCAGAGCTGTTGTCCAGAAGGTCAGTCCCCAGCCTGTACTGGTGTCTGGCTGGTACTGTAGTGTGGCTGTTGCAGCCTTCGTTGCAACTGGTAGATACCGGGTCAGATCTTGTGTGCTGCCTTGGCCACTCTGATTATTTGGGCATTTTAACCTGCAGATTTTTTAAAAAGCTTCTGCCCATGAGAGAGCTGTGCATTCCTGATCTGTTTGGAATGACGTGCTCACTGAGTCCTTTAAGCCATTGTCATTCCTACTATCCAACTGAGCTTGGGAATCATGTTCTCACATCAGAGTCTCTTCTGGCGCAAGACAGAAACTGTGCGGACCAGCAACACGATTAGCTCAGCAAAGACACTGAGCTCTGCAGTGCACAAACAGCCTTCAGGCCCCCTGGGAGTTTATGCTTCAGCCTCCCAGGGTGTCCTCACTCTACAGAGCTTGGTGGTATTTTCTTGTGATTTCAGACACTTAAACACCTACCTAAACAGCATCTGAGGCACCTAAATGGTTTGCTGACTTCCTATCTTAGCATGTGGCTAAATATAAACATCAACTGACTGCAACAGAACAAAGCCATGAAAAGTTAAGAGAAAGGTTTCTTAGGTCTCTTTTTTTTCTAAAAAAAGTTTCTGTGATTATCTTTAAATGGGGGAAAACAGCATTTCATAAAATTGTCTCTAACTTTAAACTGTCTGTTAAATCATTCTAAATGATACTTAGATGTTTTTATACCACAAAGGTAGAACAGACAACAAGGTCTTGCAGAATTACAACATGAGTAAAAATGAGCATGAGATCAGCAAGAGGTAAAATTTAAAGCAGTGAAAAATTCCTTACCCTAAAGTCTACTATTTTATACTATTATGACAGAAATAGAGCTGCTAAAATATTTCTATCTGAATATGCTATATATTAGGATAGCAAATACATTTCAAGAATTCAAATTAATTGGAAATGTCATTTCCATCCATAATGCCACCTATCATTTTGCATTATGATACACAAACTATGAGAGAGGATATACACATGTTCATAATACTTTTAAAACACTATGTTTAAAACAGTATTAGATGGCCTAAAACTAAAAATGAGCACTTTGCAAACAGAAGTTATAACCCTAGAGGAAACATAAAGGAATTTAATCCAAAATATGTATTAGCGCTAAAATCTTGGTTCAAACTTTGACAAAGAATTTTATAATTTAAGTAACAAAATAAACAAGAAAATATGGAAGCATTTTTCAGTTATCTTACAGATTTATAAGCTATTCATATATCATTAGTGAAGAAAAAACAAAACAAAACAAAAAACAAAAAAACCCAGTACTTTTCCATCTTTCTGTTTTGTCCCAAGATAGTTTCCTGAATTACAGACCTACCTGTAAACTCCAAACTAGGTAAGTATAATTTTATACTTACACTGCCTGGTGGACAACTCTGGATTTTTCGAGGAGATACTCTGAAATCTGAGCTCCTACTACAGTGCCACCACAAGTGAATTTCATTTCCAAATATTTTCCAAATCTGCTGGAATTATCATTGATGATAGTGCCTGCATTTCCAAATGCTTCTACCAGGTTATTCACTTGGAGGATCTTCTCCTGTAGAGTCCTGTTATTAGCCTAGTTACGAAAAAGACTTCGCTGAAAGTTATCAGTAATGATCCCGGTACGTCCATTCTTAAATGTTTCTTTCCACTTACAGTCAGTCCCCTGAAGTGTGACTTTTACTATGTATTTTTAAAATTCACCTTTAGACCTAAGAATTAATATCAGATTTACAACAGTTTGAACAGAATTTTTTTCCTTCCTTCCTTCCTTTCCTTTTTTCCTTCTTTCTCTCTTTCTCCCTTTCTTTTTCTCTTTCTCCCTTTCTTTCTCTCTCCCTTTCTTTCCCATGTAAGTGAGCAAAACTAATACAATGAAATCCTCTACATGTCTATCTTGATGCATATGACCTTGATGGGGTTACATTAACTATTATTCATTCATTACTTTTTCTGCCATCCCTCTGATGTTCTTAAAGCTTTGTTATAGACAACAGACACTTCAAAGTGCAACTGCTAGCAAGGTTAGGCACATCTCACATCTGGTACCTTAATTCATTAGTATACATGGCGATAGTTCTGAAGGTGCTTGTGAAACAGGCTAACAACTCTAAACTATGCCTACAGGAGTGTTAGATCATATTCTCATTTTTGCTGAAACTGCAAGTGAAAGAAGGGGTTCAGAGCTAGCTCACATGTGCCCATTTCAGTGCGTCTGAGTAAGCAAATCAGGAAGGTAAATGATTTCACAGGGAAAAAGATTTCACCTAGTGTGAACAAATGCAGTCTTTGAGTTTTTATCAATCACACTGACCAATTAATTTTTCTCTTTAGATGCTCAGGTCCCTACCTTTGTGTATATCTCAGAGACATGCTCCTGCAGGCTCAAGAAGGCATCAAAACACAATGCAATCAGTTGTTAGAAGTCTTCTTTCTCCCACTGAATGTGCCTCTGTTAATATACACCTACCATTTGATACACCAGACTTTCACAAGCTGACCCAGATGTGGATATCTACTATACTTGTGAATAAAAAGGCACATCATCAAGCCAGTCATTCTAGCATGAACAGTATGGAAAGAAAGGCATGGATATACCATTAAACCTGTCACAATATAGCAATCTGCAGAATAAATGGCCAGTTGAAAGTGTTAACACAGAGTAATCTAATCATTTCACAGCTAATCATTTCATGTGCTTCATCATCCTGACATGGGCAGTCTGCTTTTAGGACGCATGTTAGCATCTGCATATTGCTGCACTGTACCATATATAACACTGACCAAGAAAAATGGACCATCTTGCTTGCAGTTGACTTGGGAAACGTAAAAATGGCATTTGATTCAGTCAATAATGTTGGTCACTTCCCAGAATAACCATATCCCACTCACAGCAATTTAATGGGGAGGGAGGTGAAAAGCAAGAAGATAATTTTATTTAGTACAGTTTGGGTGACTTGCAGACAATCAGAGGATGAAGTAGTCACAGGCCTTAGTTCAATGAGTACTTCCTCACAGAAATACTTCCAAGTGACCCTAGTTTAGGAGGGAGGAAGCACTAAGTGGATCATCACCATGTTCCAGTCTGTCCTTATAGAAGTTCTTCAAAAAATATACTATAGTCTAGGCCCATTACCAGTGGCCAGTCTCTACAATCAGTCAATTAGGCCTCAGATATCAAAGCCTCACAGGCACATCCCCTTTGAAACATACCTTGCCCAGGACAGTGAGCTGCTGAACAAGAAGATGGGCGCTTTGTGTCTTACCAGCTCCACTTTCTCCAGAAATAACGATACACTGTAGAGGACAAGAGCATGAGTTTGAGCTCACTGCATATATCTCAGCCTGCAAAAGGTATAAATATGATACTTGATCTTTACCTGATCTGAGTTGTATGTCACCATGGACTGATATCCTATATCAGCAACAGCAAAAATATGAGGAGGGTTGGCAGTCCGTTTGGCTCCAATATAGAGTTTGGAATGCTAAGTGTGAGAAAAATAAAAACATTACCTCTGTCGCCTTCACATCTTCTTTTGCACAACTTCACTGAATTTTGTTCTATTTACCAATTAGTGGACAGCATGCTGAGCTTGCTGGTAGTGATGCTTTCCACGTGAGTGTCCTATTACTTAACTACCTGTGTCATGGATCTGTATGTATTTAGTGTTGGAGGAGCTACTTAAAAAGAGCAAACAATTTTGTATCATGTCAACCCTACCCATGCTATGAAATTTGAATAATTAGAGCAAAAATTACTTCTGATCTGGTAAAGTTCTGCATGGAAAGTGGAGGAGGAGAAATGTTCCCTTTTCCCCCTGAGACACGCAGCCATGTAAAGTCATGTTACTGAGGATGCACAGGAATGGCACAAGAATGGTCTGTGTGACCTTTCAGCTATGCAACTTTTGTAATGAGATTCTTCAGAGAATGCCTCTCTGCCATGAGCAAAAGATACACTGACCTCTCTATTTTAAGTGAAAAATGGCATCTTTTTTGCTATTTTTAGACTCTCTCCAATTATAAGACAGGATAACCTGCCCAAGTCTCTTCCATTTCAGAAAAACACACCATGGAGGACAAAACAAAAACTCTGCTTCCTTAAAGGCACAATACATTAGGGCTACTTTTTGTTGTTTTTGTTAACACTGATGTAAAACAGTGTTAACTCTGTTTTGGTCACCTGCAGAACAAAGCTAAACAAGGTAATCGAGTCCTCTTTCAGATATGCAGTATGTTAGCACATAACTCTTCAGCAAATGATATGACCTAAATTTTGGGGAGTTCATAACTTCACTGTTCTTTTTGCATAAGTAGGAGTATTTTTGTGAATACGTAACACTTCATATTTATGTTTATTTGAGTGGGTAAGATCTACTTATATAAATGTACAGATATGTACACATGCTACTTGCAAACTAGTTGCCCTTGGCTTCCATTAAATGTAGTGAAGTTCTAGTCAACCTAGCTTATCCTAAAATCAAAGATAAACATTGGAACAACAATTTCTACTAAATGTAATGAATGACTAGTTCATATGTGGCTATCTAAACTTTAAACACGATCTTCTACATATTCTACACTGCAGACACAAAGGTACCAGAGATTAACCTTTTCCAGGAGTGTCTCATTTCTAGGCTGAAATTCAGCACATAAGGATGTGTGCCGGCATGTTACAGACAGGGCAATTGTATCTGTAACTCTGTTGTTCACAGTAAACTCAAATTATCAAGAACAATATTACTTCGTACTTAACATGAACATTCATACTTTACTGGAAATCAGCATGTGTAGAAGAAAAAAACCAAACCTAGACTTTCACACCTGTGAAGAATAGATGTCTATGTTCCGAAATGGATTGACAGCAATGAGGATGTCCCCTACATATGTGTAGATCTGGTCCTTCGCATAACCCTTCTGCAACTGCTCCGTTACTGTGTTCTGATGGAGAAAGAATTGAATTATTGTTTCTTAGGAGAAAAAAATATTAGGAAAAAAATGTATAAAATAATAGTGAGGAGGAGAGAAAGGGCAGATACTAGTAGTCAAGAATACATATCATCTAGATCACAAGTGACTGCTATTTTCAAAGTGGCATTCATAATTTCTTGTGTCCAAACTGAATTCGAACAATACATATTTACAGATCTCCAAGTGGCGACAGAAATATTAACTAGTAAGTAGTGTTTAATTCAACCAATCAAATGCTTATATGGGATGGTCCTGTCTAAAATCCTAACTCTACAACTTCATATAACTAATAAGGCAAGAGCTATGTGCTTAAATTCTTATCTGCCATTGCAACATGTCTCGGATTACTCTCACTTATTCTAAGTTAGATCTTTAACTGTTTTAACTGCTCCTATCAGTGTAAGCAGATAAATATGTTCCTACATTTACAGCAGTCTCTCTTGTGACTCTTTTTTTGATGCGCAAAACAAGTGCTCCCAAAAACAAGGAGGGACTCATGAGAGGCATACTTAACTTCTTGATGTAGTTTTCCTCAGTCTCATCTTAACATGCCATAGCTCTGGCTGAAGAAATCTGGAGCAGCCCTTAGACTATTCTGAGTTACACATGAAAATGCTGAGGCCTTATTTCCATTGGAGCAGAGGAATACAAAAAGCATTGCTTTCCATCCACCTCCGTCTGTTCACAGTGATGCGCACTGTGTTTTGCTTAATGCGGTGCAGCTGAAAAAAGTTGCACTACCTTCACAGGAAAGCATCAAAATGAAACCCTAGTTTTAGGCTTTCCACTGACTTGATACAATCTTCTCTTTCTGGTTCTGAACCATACCTTGCTTTGGCTATGGCCCAGTTCACATCTTTTTTTTTTTTTTTTTTTGTTAGGGGAGATTTAAGGTAATTTCAAGTAATTTCTTGTACCTATAGTCAAAATCTTCTAATGTCTCCTGCTTTGCTCCTCTGGTGAGCCTACTTAAATGGAAAGAAGGTTTTGCATACAGGAGCTAATTCTGAGAAGTTGCTACTTGCATGTGAACAGAATTATAACAGTTCATGAACAGCTCAGTAGAGGAAGGATGACAGATGTTTGTAACCACTGTTTGTCTCTAAGACCTAAAGATAAAGAGCTACGGCCTAATTCGTCTTTCTGCTTTTGAAGCATAGAGCTATAACCACAGCAGACTTCCCTCCTCCTTGTATGCATGCTGCCCCACTTACCGTGGACTTCAGGTTTAGACCAACCAGTTATATCTGCATCAAAAATTTTGTGATCAACAGAAAGCATAGCTAGGGCCCAAGCCTCATCTGAAATAAAGTGATCTCAATAGATCTCCACATCAAAGTCAGAAAGAACCCAACTTGTAAATTATGGGAAGCTACTTCTGGAGAACCCTAGATGTCTAAGCAACAAGTGAGAAGGTGCTTGTTCTTGAAGTTGGACAAATTTCAAGTTAACAGATCACTAACAACTAGATATCTAGCCGGATTAAAATCTAGTAGTATTGATCCAGTTAACCAAATGGTGCCATAACACTGCACAGTCCAAAGCTTTCTTTAACTGCAGAGGATCTTTTAGCATTGAGTTGAAACCACTCCAACAAATCTCATCCAAAGCATATGCTATAAACTGGTAAAATGTCATTATACCAGTGACACTTCTACTGTAGAAGTGCAACACTGCTGAACTTGAAAATCAATACCTTACCAGCGTATTTTAATTCCACCTGATCCCTGAACTCTTCAGGAAAATTGGAAAAAGTGCAAGCATCTTACCTCATCCAGTACTTCCAAGGTCGCTAAATCATCTACCTCTTCCTGGTTTGAAACTAGTGACTTACTGTAGTTCCCTTTCTTTGTATGAATACGTTCAAATCTAGAAAAGAAAGACAGACATACAGCTTCTTAAAGTAAGAAAACACTCAGTAGATCCTGCATCTGTAAATACCTTGAAAATGATTCAGTCAAAATATTCCAGCTTTCTGTTCTTCTGAATTCAAACATATGAACAGTTAATAACAAGACAATATAAAATATTTTGATGTGGTACATTTCGATTTGACCAATTCAGTCTGATCCCCCAACTGACACCATGAAGAACTTTTACATTTTACATTCACAGATTTCTGCATGATCACATCCCTGCATCAGCTGCAGGACAGAAGATATGCACTATGAGGGGAAAACAAGAAACATACACATAGTTATAAAGCACACTACAGTTTAACACCAGCACTTTTGAAAAAAGTCTAGGGCAAAAAGAAAAATGACTTGAATCAACATTCTGGATAAGACAAAATTAGGGGTGTATAATGGAATAATATGGCAAGAATGATGTAGATGAAGCATTTAGGATGGAAAGATTTGTAGGTCAGTAAGGACAGTGCTTTAAATCCCATCTGAGATGGTCACACTGCAGGCAAATGCTAATGAATCTCTATCATAAATGATACACATACTGTCTAAAAAGAATTTTCTTGGATTCTACAAGAAAACTAATGTACCAAACAAGGAAACACTTCAAAATTTCCAAAACTTTCAATTTAAAATTTAAATTAACTTTTCAGCCCTGTGTTTTCTGCTACTTCTTGATTTGCATTTACCAGCTAACGGGTGTATAACTGCATGCAGACCAGAGCTGCAGATAATCCTAAACCCTCAACAGAAATCTTGCCCTTTTATACCCCTTACTTCTATCTATCCCTCAATCCTTTTTTAACAGGCTCAGTTTAAATTTTAGATTTGGATAAAACAATTTCTTTTTTGTTTCTGCATGAAGGTCATTTTGTGTCAGAGGATGCATCTATATAAGTTTGACTTTGAGAAGGACTTATTGACACTCACGGGAGGGAAAGATGAGGGAACTGCAGTATTGGTTTAAGCTCTGCTGTTCTATTTTTCCCTTTGCCCAAGGAAGACCCAAAACAAGACATCTGTCAAATTATATTTACAATTTCTAGTGGGAATGTCACACACCAAATACTTTTTTTTAAAAAAAAATCTTACTGCCTCAGTGAGAGGGTGGTATTTCCTAAGATTTATTTCAGCTTTGCAGGAAGGAAGGAGAAAACTCTGGTCATGAATACTTTCTTTTTGAACATTTTCTTTTTTTTTCTCCCTTTAAGAAAATGATCTCTATTTATGCCAGAGAAGTTTAATTACATAAAATTGATTCTCATGCAATCCTGTTCAGCTGACATTACGAGAACACTAGTGCTTGTTAAACCAGATTATATTCTCTGTTTTCAGAGAACAGCAGAGGCAGATTTGCAGAACACATAATATTTTTCTGCTTTGTTGTCAAAGGGCACAGACCCCTCAAGGGCAGTTATCCTGCTTCACTTGCGAAAACTCCAACCACTAAAAAAAACCTGAACACATCAGTGCTGTTGACATCAATGCTGAAATTTCATTATCATCATGCACATGGACATTGTGAACTGAAATAAATATGCTACTCTGTTTTGTACAGAAATTATTTGTTGGAGGCATTAAATCCTACAGCCATGTTCAACAAGCAAATCAAGCAGCTAAAGGCCAGATGTATCAACCCAATATGGACTGAAAATATGAGTCAATGCAGCGTTGTTTCTTTGCATCCCCCTGCACATTCTTTCCCTTCATCCTTATCTTTCAAGATTCAATTAAATCAAAATGAGGCAACAGCAGCTTTTTCTTCTTCAAATTGTCAGAGTGTGTTTAAAAGATTTCTGATAGTTCCAAAAATACCATGAAAAAGGAAGCATGAGTCACGATGCCCTGTTGAATACTGCCAAACTAGTTCAAGAATCATCTACAAACTAAAAAGCGACAAGAAAAGGACTAGCCTTAGTCTGGCAGTAAAGCCAACATTAAAAATAATCAAGTTTTTTGTCACATGAAGTTGGAAACAGCTGTACCCCTTCCAGCAGTTACAAATATAACTGTAAGTGAAGAATAGAAAAGAGGCTGTACAGAAGCTGTACTGATCTGTACAGGATCAGTCATTGCTGTTGATTTTTTTTTCTAGAGGCTGCACAGAGCCATTTTAATTCACTTTTAAAATCAAAATTCCATCTGCAACAGATGAGTCTATTGAAATACATTAAAACAAAACTCTGGTCTTGTAATATATCTATGTAAAATTTGTACCTAAACCTGGTGCAATGTACAGATAGACTCCAGAGCAAAACAGACAATATTTTGCTCACTGTGTTTAGGAGATTTCGTAGCATGAGTTTAATACAGGCAATCTTGTTGAGAGCACAGTGCTGCCAAACAGAATCACAGAGCTTTGGGTTCAGACTTGGTCCCTGACTGGCCAGTTGAGTCATATGCTGCTCAGCACAGTCTGTTTGCCAAAGACTATGCTGGCATACCATGCTCTGCAAAAATGCACACCACCACTGCTTTATAAGAGGCTCAAGAAAGGGCTGCATACCTGACAAAATTCAGGGCAAAAAATATGTGTTTTTAACCGAGCAAACAGGATATTTCTAAAAGTACTCTTTGACATTGTTTCCTTACTGCCCTCATGAGTCAGGACCATGCTCTAAGCATCAGAAGTATCTAAGAAGTATCTAAGTACCAGAAGAGTCTGCGGAAGCTCCTGAAGTGAGCGATGCCATGAGGCATCCTACCTGCAGGCTAAATCACTTTCTCAGCAAGTTGACTGATGCTACTGTGAAATAGCAGCTGCAGAGAATTCCTCCCAGAAGGTCCTGGAAAGAAACTGGAACCATGGCCTGCTCTGCTAAAGCAATGTGTATATGCAAGAGGCATGTGAGACTGGAGACCTACTTACTCTGTAGGCCCACGGTGGGAGGTCTGTGCTGCCAGATTACTCTGAATTGCTTCTAAAATCCAAGATCCGTTTGCAGCATAGCCACTTTACAAAGGAGTATCCTCAAAGTACTTCTTGTTGGTATAACAAAGCTGCTACCGAGTTACAGAGTAGAGGAAGAAGCGACTTGAAGTGTTCAAAGATTAGTTTAGAAGTCAGCATCTCTGGCTTAATCCCCCGCTTTATTGCAGATTTTGTATGATGACCCTGAACAAGTCAGCACAGTGACTCTGTGAGCTAATTTACTCTGCTCCTCTTATCCTTTGTGAAGCTCATGTGGTGATCTCTACACTACAGCCACAGGCTACATTACTAGTAGTGAGTTATCTACTACTCACTGCAGAACTTAGCTGGAGGGATTGCTCTCAGCTGATTTCAACTGACAAGATGAGTCAGAGGGAGAGAGAACACCCAGAAAATAAGCCACAGAAGTTAGGGCTGTAAATCAAGAAAAGCCATGGGATGCAACTACGAATTTCTCCCTGCTTTTAATATTAGTGAATAAATTCACAACCACCCTTAAGCATGTTGTACACAAATTGCTATGAACTTACCTCTCTGGTGTTTCTAAATAGTTAAAC